AGATAAACTAAGCAGTATAAACAGAGAATGCATTCATAACAGCTATCTGTTAAAGAATAGCAGTTTATACCCAAAGTGCTCTTTAAAATCAACCATCGTTCCAGATATAAAAAGTAGAGTATATGAATCCTCTCCTTTCAAATGTTTTTTGACAAAAATTTAAAAAATCCAGTAAGTCTTAAAACTAAAAATTCACTTAGGCTTTACCATGATATGATTAAAATTAGCACTGATATGAAAATAACAACTCATTCCCGTGCCATCTCATAAAGCCTTGCTATATTATAACGATGTTGTTTTTATAACCCAACTTTTTACTACTTTCGTCTAAAGATCAGATTCTTTTCCCTCTATTTCTAATTTTTTCATATAGTATTAGAATGCTGTCACTTCACCACATTTAGTGAGACTGCAAATGCCACATGCAGTCACTGCAAGTGTAGGCAGGACCCTGGACTTGCTGATACTCACAGTTCTGTAGAAAGCGAAGCCTGTCGTAGAGGCTCTCGGAGTTCACGGACACCAAGCCCAGCAAAACATCAGAGTGGCCTAAAACAAATCAGAAACATTTAGGTTAAACAATTCATATTAATTTTTTATCTTATAATTTCTAAACCATGACCTCCTCTTGAAAATGCTCTCAGGAAAAAAATACTTATCACAATAGAATAAAAATCATATAAAAACTAGGTATTTCTTTTTAGGAAGTCAGCAGGATAAAATCACAATATTTTATAGTGAATTTTAATCTGCTTCTCATAAATCACGAACTTTGTTTTGTCCACTATAAATGAACATCTTACATTTCATCTAAGTGCAATTTTTTTCTTTACACATAAGTCGCAGAAGAAAAACTACTGAACCATAGAAGAAAAGATTGAAAAGTCAAGACCGGTGCTATTCTCACCAGCCCGGGACAGACACTCAGAGTGCAGACTGTACAGGCCTTACCGTTCATGTACTTGGTTGCAGAGTACATGCAAATATCAGCTCCCAGAGCCAAAGGCCTCTGAAACAAAAAAGTGTTTTGTTTTAAATGACAAATCATTTCAAAATATGCTTCATTACCTGCCTGCTTGCAACTGTAAATTCCTTCCTAATTCTAACCAATACTAACATTGTAGAAATTATGTACATTTTAAGTTTTTCCAGGATCTCTGATATTAACTTCCCCTTGCCTCTCTCCCACCAAATAAAAATGCGAAGTATTGGAGCCAGTATTCGATCTCAAGGCATAAATGGTATGGGAACCGCAGACAGACGCAGGTCAACAGGTCTCCCGGATCTGTTTCTCTATAGCAGTTGCAGACTGGTCTACGACTCTATTAACTACAGCAGATACATTGGTATTTTATTACTCATTAACCTCATAAAATAATTGACATAAACATTCAGCCACTTTTATGTCAAGTATAAACTAATCTGCTTAGACTTTAAAACCCTCAACCCTCATGATGTGTGTTATCGCTGTTCACACGTGGCTCATCTCCATCTGACTCCTGACTGCGGTTATTACACATCAGCCCTTCCTATCTGTGGGTTCCACATACACAGTTTCGGCCAACTGTAGATTAAAAATATTTGGGAAAAAATAACGTCATCAATGTCTTTCAATTTACACGTTCTTCAGCAGAAACTGTATGTGTGTGTTTTACCCTCACTAGAGTTGTGTAGACCTTGGAAGATGTGCGTGCAGGTGGCCATGGACCTTTTCATCTAGGGTGTTTCAAAAACAGGACGTTTAGAGTAAGGTGATGCCAAAGCTCTCTCTGCGTAT